GTGGGAATGGATTCCTTGCGTTCTCCGAGAATATTACCGCAGCAATCTTCGGCGTGTTCGGAGGCAAGAAGAGCTCCGGCGGTGGTCACCGGCAGGCATAGAGGTTCTTCCTTTTTCCCTATGCTGCCTTCTTCTTCTCTCTGCTTGCACTTCCCCCTCATTATGAATGAGATAAGGTCTATATTATAGTTTTTGGATCAGGAGATGGCCCGTAGACCACAGGGCGAATTGGGAGTGTTTGATGGACGCCGATATCGAATCCTTTGATCATGCACGTTCGTTGTTATTTGAATGACCTATTATGTCGGAATTAAGGATCTTGGGCTCGTTGGATTCGCTCGTCGAGCCGTTTCGATTGCGCGTAGTATGAGTTCGTAAACAAATCGGAGCCGTTTGTAACTCAATTGCGCGTTGAACTTTCCATACAGGTTATTTAGACTGATTCATGATCGTATAGGAGCTCGGATATGGGTTATCTTAGGTGTCGTATTGGGTTCGTATTCTAGACGCTCAGTTTGACTATAAGTTTCTCGCATGAGTTCGGAGTGCTTCGTTTTTCTTGAAGTTTCCAACTATTTTGCCTGAGATTCATGCCCGATCAAGTAATTTTGTGATGTCGTATCAAGTATATTTTAAATTGGGTCGACACCGTATATATCAGATTTTCCACCACTAAAATTTCGTCGGTTTTATTAATTTATCTATGACGTTTTAAGATACTAAGACGTACGATAGTACCTACCCGAGCACAATTTTATAGCACGCAAAAACTCTAATTTAAAAATGATGGCACAGCTCTTTAATAAGAGAAGATAATGTTAACTCTCTATATTATAGGTATAAGAGGTTAACTGAAGAAACAAAAAGATAGTTTTACTTGGTCAAATTAAATCAAATCATAATTTTTTTCAGATTACGAAGTAGACTAATGATCAATTTTATTAATAGTTTTTAAGAGAGATGACATCAAGTTAAAATGAAGGCAGAAAAGAAAAGAATCGATGATAGCAGTTAAGAAACTCAGAATATAGCATCATGACAACAATTAAACGCAAAAAAGTTTATAGCTCCATTGGCCAAACACAGCGCGCCGAAACGCACGTTACGTTTAATTCAATTCAAGCCAAAGGAAAGTGAAATTAAAGTAGGCTTGGTCTCATCTGGTTTGTTGAGCCAAGCCAGGGGAGGGGTCATGGCAGTCGAAACGTCCAATCTGATGGCGTTGGGAAAATCTAAGTTTATATAAAATTCATGCAAGATTAGTTGAAAAAAGATATATGACAGAGATATGCCCAGCACACATGGAAGCCTCTAGTCAAAGGGCGGCACATGCCAGAAGGAATTCAAAGTGAGCATTGCGGTTTGCAATTAATTATCGAAGATTATGATAGATCATATAGTTACAGCTACAGATATAAAAAAATATATATAGATGATTCATCTAGAAGTATATCTGCCTTGATAATTTAATAGCATTCTTTTCTAAGATAATAGATAAAAATTATTCTGTAGCAGAGTCGAACGATCATATCACAGGACCATGTGGCTTATATATACGTTTTCGGTGGTTGTGCTAAATGGTACCTAAGTCTGCGCATGTATCGCCGAGGAGGCGCTGACGGTGGCGATTCTAAATCTGATTATCGGCGGCATGTAGAGTTGGATTCGAATGTCACCACAGAATAATCAGTATTTGTTATTGTCCGAAGGCTCTTATTGGTTTTCTACTAGCGACGGGAATCCTTTGATGGACTTGTAATAATTGCTTCCAAGACTTTCAATGTGAAATGGAATCTGACTTTCGTTAGTATCATTGAAATATTCATCATACGTATGTGGAGAAAAGCTTCGCTCTCAACAGACTTGTTAGTCAAACAATAATTTTAATAGAGTTATGAAGGAAATGAAAAGGTTGCTGGTAAATGCTAGTGGTATAACATTATTTGACTGCCATAACTTCAACAGCCTTCAGACTTAGAAAGTATTCAAAACAAACATTGGTTTTTATAATGTGAAGAGATAATAAAATGATTAATTAAATTCAATTTTTTAAATTACTTAGGTAATTAATACATTATATTCCCCATTTGTATGGAGAATTTTTATCAACTTTTATTTTGAGCATAAAAAATGAAATAAATTATAATTCATAATTCATACAATAACATAGCCCGGACGCGTCACCTGTCTGCGTGTATCACAGGAAAATCTTGAAACATTTTTTTGTAAGATTAAGTTTTAATTATCGACGATTTTGTAATTATTACAATTATTTTTAAATGAATTGGCGTCTTTAATTTCCTTTTTTTTTAAGCAATGAAATCTTTACCTTTTTATCCGTGGAATCTCACGCAGATACCCGTGATTCCCGTTACCCCTTCAATATTAAAGGAAATTTTGAAAAAAAAATTACCTAATTGTTGGAATCTTAAATTTGCTTTAGTTCTGTGAATTGCGATAAAGTAATCAAAACTCAATATACGAAAAAATAAGTTACTATATTAATAATCATTAAAAATAAAAGGAAAAAGATGCAAAAAAAGTGTGACGGTTAGAACTAACCGGAAAACGCGACCCCTGAACGCAGCGTGCTCGGCCTACCACATATGCGCCGGCTCCAACCAACAGTACTTTCCTCATCAGCCCCCCAATGTCCGTACCCGCAGCACCTGCTGATGATGCAAGCACATTAGCCTCGCCTAACTTTCAGCCCAAAAAAAAAAAAAAATATGCCCAGCAAAAAATATGATCAACGAATGCAAAATAAGTCATGATTAAAAATTTTGCAATACGACAACTTTGAAATCAATAGAAATTATATTAGAAAATATTTAATCTGTATTTATATGTTTGAGCGATAATGTTGCTCAATATTTTATTGAGAAATAAAATCTCGTTGTCTAAATGCCTTGGGCGCACCAACTAAAGAAAAAGATGGAAACGAACAGGTTCTAAAAGTCGAGAGATCATCGAGGGAAACCAACAAAACGCTGCGTAGTATGAAAGAACCAGCTAGTGCCAGGAACGAGATGTTCTGCTTATAAAGCCTTGAAATTGTTAAAGCGTCCTCAATAGCATATTCTTTCCTTCCAATAAGCATACCCAGCGTTCGCTAAGATCGAGATATCAGCCACATGCTCCTTCATGTTAAACGGCCCGGATTGACGAGATACTCCTGATCGCCGAATCCAGGAAGCCGAACTTCGCCTGCGGCAGGGTACGAGCTAGGAAAGCCCAGCCGAAATGAGGCCCACCTGAACGGTATCTGCGTGATGACAAGAGGCTCCGTTCGGTAGGCGAAGAACTGGTTCAGGAAGGACATAGGCACAAGGATAGAAGCCCTAGGTAACCACATTCCGGAAACGTCCATACCGGAAGATGTGGGGTTTGTCGTTGTCCACTACGGTCAGCCGGACTTGTTCAATCGAGATGATTCCTCTCCCGGCCTTGTCGCGTGGCTGGTCGTCAGCCGATTTTCCGGCTTGATTGACCGGTTATGCTCTTCCTATCCGTCCGTCTTATGCCATCTTTACTACAGTTGCTTCTGCATGTCATTAAAAGTAGAATCTTCTTATTAAAATTAATACTTTGTTATTTTTTGAATCCTTTATATTGCCCAATTTTCTAACACATCGTTCGTATTAATTTTAATTATTTTGAGTGACACGACATCTATATTCACGTGGAATTGTGGGGGCTTTCTGGTTGGCTATAATAGTTTTTTTACTCGGATGCGAAGTATATTTTTTGTAATTGGTCTTCTGTGGGGCCTGATTTAAGCGGTAGGGTTTACGAGATATCATAGAGGTGCAGGAACCCGGGAATAAGAAAAGTCACTGTTTATTTATTTAATAATTTAAAAGTATTTAATCTTAGAAATAATTTTTTTCCGAAAATTTAAGATTTTTTTGATATTTGAATCCATAAAATCTTTCCTTACGAAAATTTATAACATATATGTTGTCACGGAGAAACTGTTATCTCCAAAAAAATTTGGCTTGGCATATTATATTTTATATTTTGAGCATGTAAAAAAAATATTATGTAAAGATTGAAAATTTATGACCAAAATATTTACATGAAATAGTAAAAAAAAAATGATAATTTGAGTAATAAGTTAATAGATTTCTCATGTTTTTGGAAAATCGGAGTAACCAAATTGATTTGATTATGAATCCCGTCCTATTACGGGTTTATCCTCAATGAAAAATTGATGCAGCACTCAAATACGTTAAGAACCATGAACTGCGGTTCAACGGACCAAATCGTGAATTGTCCTTAATTTTGAAAAAACTAACTAATCTCAATTCACAAAATATATTATAAAATAATTATTAATAAATAGAAATAACTTATATAATGAATAATTAATAATAATATATCTTATTTAATAATATATATTCAAAAAATTTTGAATTGTTATGTATTAATCCACTAACAAGATCATGGCACAATAGTTCCAGGCCCAGCGTGCCTCATTAACGTTATATACTTAATAAATAGCTATATTATAAATATGAAATATAATCTTCCTAATGATTATTATAAAATACTCAGAAATTTTACAATGTGTGTGTACTGATGAAGTACTTCCACTTAAGATTTTTTGAAAAAAAAAAATATGTATGGATATTCAGATAAAATAAAATGATTATTTATTAATTTTTAAAAATTCTTAATTTTATAATTATTTTTATATTTATAATATCTCAAATATATATTAATTATTAATTTTTATAAATTTATAAACTCTCTCTATATAATAGAAATAATATATATATAATAATAAATATGGAAAATCTAAAACAAATATATTAAGTATGAATTACAAAAATATAATCTATATATGAATTTATTATATTGTATAATGTAAAAATTAAGCAATAATAT